AGGGGTGACACTGGATGGGCTTTAAGGTCCCTTCCAACCCAAAACCATTCTGGGATCCTAATTCTGCTGCTTTTTACCACAGATCTGTTGGGCCTCTTTCTACCCCACCTCGGTGGTTTTAAACATGACAGTGCCAGACCTGAGACAGCAGTAATGGAATTTGTGTTGCTGATAAAAGCACAAAAAAAAGGAAAAGAGGAAAAGAAAGTGGGAAAAGAAAGTGGGAAAAGAAAGGTAATGCAGTGCCAGTCAAGAATAGCATGAAGGCTCGTCTCTCCACCCTGTCACTGCTCTGGTGAAAGGCAGATCAGCTATATTCAGGTACTCCAAAGAGAGAAATTTCAAAATCCTCTAGAGACAGCACTAATCTTAGGAGACAAATCAGCAAAAAAAAAAAAATTGCATCTCATCAGAGCAGCCCCTTTACGGATGCTTCTTCATGACATCGAGGATCTCCCGGTACAAAACCTCGGTGGCGTCGAGGCCCAGCATGAAATCCAGGTGGTTCCACTGAGGGATGAACTTGTGGTGCACCAGGTTCCTGAGCTGGGGCAGGAGCAGGGCGGTGTCCCTGGGGTCAGACAGACAGTCCTGCCCCGCGTTCCACACGGCCATCGGCACCTCCATGCTCCCCACGTCGTACTGCGGCGGCCCCGTCTGAGGAGATGGAAAAGCCTTTCACCAACAGGAGATGTGGCTGGAAGGTGACAAATTATGCCCTGTGCGAGAGAAATTGCTGCTCTTTGGGAATGGAGGGAAATAAAAGTGGGAACTCCTTTCTTCCAGAAAGAAGAGAAGCTTCAATAGAGATGCAGCACGGCCGTATGCGCTACAATGTAGTGAGTAAATTTAAAATTAATTAGCAATTTTGTTCTGCCCAGCTAGAAATGCTGGTTCTGATATTCCCAATGGTTTGTTCTGGAGGCAGAACTGTGCCTGCCCTGGTCTGATGCTGTAGGTGGGACTGGGCACCTCTCCCTCCCAGCCCTACCAGGGTTTGTGGTGACACTTCACRCCATCACCAGCACTTCCTCCAGCCCAGCGATGGCAGGGAAGTGTTTGGGAGCAAGTTCCTGAAATTAAAATGCCTCTAGAGRGTTATTTTAGCTCCACCCCAAGGACTTGCCATGAGGTGATTTGTCAGCACCGTGTCTCATTACCTGCAGCGTAACTAATCCAGTTAAGAAGCATACTGCTTTCTGAACAGTTTTTCTTATTTAAGGAAGAAAAAAGCTGGTTTGTTTTTTTTTTTTTTTTTTTTTTTTTTTTTTTTTTTTTTTTGCTTAACCACTATTTCAGAGAAGAAATTTTTCCTAATCTTCAAGCCTGGTGTAACTTGAGATCATTTCCCCTCCTCCTATGAAAAGTGGAAAGCGTCTAATTCATTCCCTTTAAAAGGTATTTGCAAAATAAAGTTGAGAATGAGAAACGCTGTTGTTCCAAGCAGAGATCCTGACTTCCAATTTGAGAAGACAGGAATAAATGAGGAGGAATAAATTAAGAGGAAATCACAGCAGGCATGAATGGGAAGAGAAGAGGGAAGGGGAAGGCTGTGGGCAGCTCCTCACCTGTCTGTAGCGAAGGTTGTTGTACATGAGCCCCCCGTCAAAAGCTCTCAGTGCYCCGCTCTGGACTCCCTGCAGCAAATTCAGACATGCARRGCTCTGAGTGAGATCTCAGTTCTGYTAGGGTGCASTCAACCCTCTAAAGTCAAAACTCAAGAGTTGGTTTCCATCACTGAACCAGTAGGGTTTTTCAAGTGTAGCTCCCAGGCTCAGTACAAGAGATTACAATGTAATCTTGTACAAGATACAATTTGCCAAGAATTTGGACAAATGGACAGAGATTGCGCTTCTAATGTTTGCGGGTAATGCCAGGACAGGGAGAAGTTAAAAGGTTCTAGAAAGTGAGTTTAGAACTCTAAATATTCCTTGTGGGCTGGAGAAATGGCCAGGAAGGGCACAATCCAGGCTGGAAGAGCCTCTGGATGTTTCGTGTCTGTCTGGAACGGGACTATCACCGACACGAGGTAAGGGTGGCTGTGGCTTGATCCTTCCACCTCAAAAAACAGTGTGTTCCTGCTGCAAACCCCACAAAGCTATTTTGGGGTCTCTGGGARGGAATTCCACCCTGGGAGGAAGCTGTGCCCTGAGCACAGGGAAGGTGCACGGACTGTGTCCACCAGCTGYAAAAATTTGTGCGAATTTTTAGTCTGGGGAAGAGAAAAGGAGCGCAGCAGAACACAACTGCAGTGTCAGAGGGCTCTGGGAGGGGCTGTTCTCATGGCCACAGTGGGAAGAAGGAAAAATAATCAGCCTAATATTATTATTAATATTAATATTAAAATAGTCTTTATATATAATATATAATATATAATATATAATATATAATATATAATATATAATATATAATATATAATATATAATATATAATATATCATATAGACTATAGACTATAGACTATAGACTATAGAATATATCATATATGATATATCATATATCATATATAAGATATATAAGATGATATAAGATATACGATATGATACATATAAGATGATATAAGATATACGATATGATACATATAAGATGATATAAGATATAAGAAATAAGATAGAATAGATAATATAATATAATATAATATAATATAATATAATATAATATAATATAATATAATATAATATAATATAATATAATATAATATAATATAATATAATATAATATATCATTATATATAGAATATAAAATATAAAAAAGATGTAAAAATAAAATATAAATAAATAAAATATAAATAAATAAAATATAATTATATGATATAACAACGATATAAAAATAATATATATAATTTGTAATATATAAAATATAATAATATAACATAATAGAAATAATATTTATAATCTAATGTAAATATTAACATAACTATTAACGTTAATAAGGTAATAGGCTTAATTGGCTGCTGTCCAGCATCATCTCTGCCAAAGTGTGACTGTGAACAGCACTCGGGCTGCGGGGCAAGAGAGGAGCTGGGCTGAAATGGGACCCCTGGAACGCGGATCCTGCTGTGGGTGCAGGATCCTCAGCTCCAAGTGCTCCTCCTCACAGATCCCCTCGGCTCCAAAAGCTGCCGAGCGTTTTACAGAGGGGTGACAACAAACCCAGCAAAGAGGTGACAAAGGCACAAAGCACAGCAGGCTGCCCACAAGGGAGCAGTGACCCCTCTGGCASGGGAGGCATCGGGAAGCTTTACCTGCAGCCAGTGGATGATGTTCCTCACCGAGGAGCCCGCCGGGGTGTGTCCCGCGAACACATCGATCCGGCTCTGCAAGGACACGGGCACATTCACATCAGCATTCAGCAAAACAGGGCACTGCCGGGGCGCTGGCCTTCAGAAGGACCCTGTGCAGATCTATTCCCATTTACCATGTTTGTGTTCTTCCAGTTAAACCCGAAAACCATSGCCAAGGCGCTCTTGCAGATCTTGGAGCAGACGCAGAACCGGGAGAGGAGCAGCTCTCCCAGGGGTGTGTGCGGCAGGAAATCCCTGGTGCCGAATATTTCCTGTAAAATTCCAAAGGTGCTCATCAAATGSGGAGTCTGGGCACACTTTTCCCCAAAGCACCACCCCTTTAGGACTCCTATTTTATCCCCATATTAAGGYTGTCAGTGGTGAAGCCTCCCCTGCACCCCTTAAATGCTTCTGTTCCTGTTATTTTATGGGCATTTATTCTCTTACAGTCATCACATTCCCATTATCAATAGGAGGGCTCAATTCACAGCCTCTGCATCAGTTTTATTCACCAATGGTTTGGTTCTAATTCTGCCAGAACATTTTGAGGAGTGAACTCACAACAGGACTGCAAGATTCTGGAGTGAGATGTGTTTTTCTTCGTCATGAAAACAGAGTGCAGAGCTCCCCTCTCTGTAAATGACTTGAAATATTCCACAATCCCTACACAAAACTGCATTTCAGCTGTGCAGAATGCAGCAAGGACTGACCTTAAGCCCAGACTCAGAAAAGATTGTCAGCTTTCTGAAGGGGCTCCGAGCAAATATCACCGTGGTCACCGGTGCCAGGGCCAGGAACACCTTGATTTTCCGAGCCAGCTGAGGCATAGTGGAAAAGGCTATAAAACCTGAAAAGGGGATGGAAAAAATAGGAAAAAACAAATTTTGCTTTTTCCAGATGCTCACAGTTTCATTTCAGTGATTAATTAATTAATTTCCCAAATCTCAGGCTGCCAGCAGAAGGACCAGCTCACCGATAGTGGTGCCTTGGGAATGGCCGATGTAATACAGCTGCTTCTGCCCTGTTTTCTGCTCRATGAAGTTGATCATTGCTGGGAGATCATATCTGGCCATCTCATCGAAGCTGCAGAGGGAAGAGCAGACATCCTKCTGAGAGGGGCAGCACCTACACCTGCACAGCCATCACCAGCAAACCCCAAAACCAGCAGGGAGGGCAGGACCGCCCCACAAACTCCTTCATCCTACTGAATTTTCGCATGGGGTTTTCACCTAAAATAAGTTGGATGTKACTCGGTCCAGCCCGGTTAGCTCAYCCCCGAGCCAGGGCAGCACAGCCCTGACAGAATCCAGCTGCTTGTGAGATTCTCACACCCASTTTTTACCTGAAAGCCCAGAATTCATCCTGTTTGGGAGACAGGACCAGGTGTCTCTTGGACCAGGTGTTCCCCCTGCTGTTCCCTAGCCACACATCGTAGCCAGCATCCGCCAGGATGAAGCCCAGGCTGCTGTTGGCCAAGTTGCTGAGCCAGATGCTGCCTTCTGAAAGAATCCCATGCTGCAGAAGCACCACGGGCCTTGGTCCTGCAAGACAGGCATCRTGATGGCTCCCTTTGTTTTTAATGCTGTCTGCCATCTTTTGAGCCAGTTTATGAACTGTTATCCCCATGGCAGCCAAAATCCGTGGAGATTTGTGCCAGTGCCGACAGGAACCATGGAAACCCTGTCACACAAGCCCCACAATCCCAGGAGACAGCTCGGGGTGTGCGTGTCCATCAGTTTTACCTTGGCAGCCAGCGTTCTCTCTCCCRTGAGGAATTCTGTTCAGCTGCAGGATGTAGCCATCCTCGGTCACCACGTCATACTCCTCACTGGGATACCCCCAGAAGGAGATTATTTCACTCTGCAGCAATGAAAAGGAAGCTATAATAACATTTTCAAGGCTCCCCCAAGGTAACCCCTAAATGTAATATTTAACTATTGGTGTTTCATTGTGGCTGCTTCCCAGACACTTCCTGCCTCAGCTCCAACACCATCATACTCACGATGTTCATCCCGGCCTCTGGATTCTTAGAAAATGGGAAATTCAAGGGGCATTGCCCGGAGGTCACCCCGTGGAGTATGGACACCAGAGCTAGAGCCAGCCACATCCTCGCTGTGCCTGCAACARCACACACAAATTCAGGGCCCTGGAAAGCAGGGAAGGGGGAGATGTGGGCAGGGAAACACCCCAGGCAGGACTCAGGCTCAGTCTGGTGGCCTGGGTGACTGCTCCAAGCGTTAATGTACACGGGCTGGCTCAGGAAACACAACAGGGATATTTCCAGGGAGGTGGGACAGACTGTCAGGAATTCCAMGGCAGCAATCCTTGCAGTGCTCTGCAGGCCACTGGGAACTGCAAGAGTTAAAATCATGGAGTCACAGAAAGATTTGGGTTGGGAGGCACCCTAAAGCCCCTCTCATTCCAACCCTTTTCCACTAGCCCAGGTTGCCCAGGACTCCATCCAACCAATGCACAAAGGGTGCAGGGTGTCACCGGTCCCAGCAGTGACCAGGCAGTGCCACTCCTCCACTGCCTTCCCAGGAAAGGGGATGGCCCAGAGGGACAGCTCTGTCCCACCACCCTGCTGCTGGCATCCCTGTGAACGCCACTGCCCAAGCCTCCCCAGGAYGGTGAACGAGATCCAGCACTGCCTTCCCTCGCTAAACAGAAATAAAACCATGAAAAGAAAATCTCTAACTACTCGCCCTTCTCCACAATCGCAGAAGAAAACACAAGAATTGATTGCATTTAATTCAGAGAAAGACATTTTAAAGTGCAAATCTACAGGCAAAATGGGGAGAGATGTATCTTCCAGCAGATCTAGATGTCCCTTGATGTTTAACCCAGCTTTAAACCCCCTCACTCGGTGTKTTGGGGAGTGCAGCTGCCACAGAGGTGGTGCAGGCAGAGGGGAACAGCAGGTTTTGCGCACAGCTCTGGGTGAGAGGTACCACAAACAGGTGCTGAAAGTTCTGGGCAGTGCTGCTGCCTCCAACAACTGTAGATGGCAGAGGCCACAAGGCCTCAGGGTAAAGAAAAACTGGGCTGGACCCATCCCTGGAACCGACCCAGCAAATCAGATTTGGGTCCCCTGCGCTGGAGCGGTGAGTGCCGTTCACAGCCCCACTCAGACCCAGCTCTGCCCACGCCTTTCCCACACTCACCTGGAGAGAGCAGAAGGCAGCCAGCCCAGCCGAGGGGTGGCACAGCTCCTGCAGGAAGGGACGGGGAGATGCCAGCCCCTGGGGAGGGATGGCCAGCCCGGAGGAGATGGAGATGTGGCACACGGCGGTGGCAGGGGACGGATGGGTTTTCACCTGGCTGGTGCACGGAGCAGCGCTCTGCATCCCTTTGGGGACAGCCCTATTTGAACTGGCTGCAGGGTGGGGTAGCAAGAGCAGAGAAAGCCAAGTGTAAACACCCTGAGATGCAGAACACAGAAATGATTAGCCAACAGCACTGTTTAGAAAGTGCCGTTGCCCACAGTTTGTTTGTGGAGGCTGGTTAAATACTGTTTATGCAGAGTGAAATGACTAAGGTTGTTTGGAGGTGATTCCCATCGATAAAGYGGTTTAATTGATATTGCTGAAGAAAGTTTCCAGCTTCCCATTTGAATTATGGCTTTATTTATTCATTATGAGAGATGTAATTAAGTTATTACAGGGGAAGGTCTGAAATGGATTTCCAGTAGCAGATCTTGTGGTTTAGGAAGGATGATGATGTTTCTTGTTACACAGAGATGGGGATTAAATCCCAGGCAATGGACTGCAAACATCTGCACTGGGTCAGGCTGGGATGGAGCYCCCTTTCCCCAGAGCTCAGRGATGGKACTGCAAACATCTGCACTGGGTCAGGSWGGGATGGAGCYCCCTTTCCCCAGAGCTCAGGGATGGGACWCAGCCAGTTTGCCACAGCAAYACTCCATACCTTSTCTTTCTCTCCACCCACTTTTCTCACTTTTGCTCTTCCAGCTCCCTCCACCTGCCCCACTTTTGGGGTGAGGGATGGAGCCAAGGAGCCGCTTGTGTGGGTGCTCAGCTGTGGGCTGGGGCCAGCTCAGTACAACATCCTTGTTCCTCACACCCTTACAGGAAGGTATGAGAGCACCTAAGCACCTTACCCTACAAGTGCCCTGCCAACAGGGAGAGTTATCCCWCTCCATCACTCCCTTCTTGGATTGTTTTGCTTTGGAAATGGCGGTGAAAGGTCAGTAGGGGAAGGTGTCTCCTGTCAGCCTGGAATGGRCCTGAGCTGTGTCCAAGGCACGCGCCCAGGTTTGGCAGTTTGTCCCACTTGCATAAACACGGCCCTGGGAGAACGGGAATTCCCCATTCAGAGCTTTGGAGGTTAAGGGTGATTTGGTTTTGGGGTACTGAAGCCACAYGTCACCGAGTAAGACACTTCTGACTTCCATCTTCTGAGGAAACAGATCATGGAAAGCTTCACTCCAGGGAAAGGGCAGAGCAGCTCTGGTCCTGTTCACGTGGAGGCACTGAAAGGCGCAAGGCGAGGGTGGCACCCAAAAAAGCCCCGCAGCTCCTGAAGAGAGGGACATCATCATGGTTTTACAAGATGCTCTGGCCTCCCAGGGTCATGGGCAGCTCCTGCTGAAGCACCACTTCTGTCGAGGCCACACGGGACCAAGGAGAGTCTCTTGAAGTYCATTTCATGGCCAGACCTGCGGCAATTGAGGCACCACATTCATATGCCAAGACATTTTTTTCCAAAATCCAGGGTTCTTCCAGCTGTTTGTTATGTGTTTTACATTCTTGTGAAGCACAACCAAGTGTCTGAGCCAACCGCCATAAACAACACCAGGAACACACCATGGTCAGAACAAACCACCATAAATCATGTTAGGAACACGCCATGGTCAGAATCAACCACCATAAATCATGTTAGGAACACGCCATGGTCAGAACCAACCCCCATAAATCACACCAGGAACACGCCATGGTCAGAACCAACCACCATAAATCATGCCAGGAACACGCCATGGTCAGAACCAACCACCATAAATCACGCCAGGAACACGCCATGGTCAGAACCAACCACCATAAATCACGTTAGGAACACGCCATGGTCAGAACCAACCACCATAAATCATGTTAGGAACACGCCATGGTCAGAACCAACCACCACAAATCATGTTAGGAACA